ACCTCTGGGATGGTTTTATTCCAGTGTTTATCAGCGTGTGTTTTCTGTTCCAGGGTAAAGTGATTCACAAAGGACCGTTGGTGAAGATGTCGAAGGACGAGTTCGTCATGAAGGCTGTCATTCAGGGTAACAAACTGATCTTCATAGTCAGACAGTTGAACTGAATTAATGATTGTTGATCACAAAGCAAACACATTAGGTATGCGTTTGCGACAACACCCTCCAGATGCCTCATATAATGAGAGTGTGACCCAGAGAAGGACATCATGGAGTCACCAAGTCCTCTCCACGCCATGTACTCACTCTGCCAACCACTGAACCAGGAGAGTCAAACCAGGACTGACACCACGCCCCACTCTGGTGGGACGCCTTCCTGCTGGGGTCACAGCCTCAGAGCAAATTAGCTGAAGCAGCTCAGGAAGCTGATCAAGGAGGATGTCTCTGGAACATCTGGAGAAGATTTAACCACAGGGTCTTCCTTCTAGATCTGATGTGAGACGGACCGCAGCAGAAGATTGTGGTTTTCTTGCGATAATGAAACCACAGAGACGTTGTGTTTTCTTCTCTCCTGTGTTCTTATAGTAGAGTACCTTCAGTGTCTGAGTCGATCCCTCCTGTCCACCGTGATGCTGTTTGTTCCTTTAATGGAACAGGATCAGTTTTTCCTTTGGGGACTGCCAGGAATTCTACCCGACACAGAAAAGGCATCCAGGCCCTGAGCTACCAGGCAAACCTGACCAACATGTCTGTTCAGCAATGAGTGGACTGTACCTTCAAAGAGATACCACTGGAATGCCAGTCTGATATGAAGATGTAGAACTGGAGAAGATATATGCTAAAGCATTCCTGGTTGGGTAAAATAGAACAACAGACATTTCAGCAGTAGTTGTTTCACTGCAGCTTGGTGACCAGGAGTCAGAAACTGGTTGATATTTGACAACAAGGCACAGATTTAACCTACAAACTACAGATTCACTCACAATAGAACTCACTCTGATTGACGTTCCTATAGTCTACGTCCAGCAACACGTCTGTCCACCTCATTCAAAAGCTCCACCTACCAGCCCACTACTATCAGCTTGTTGTTTTTGAATTACTTCTTAACAGGCTGTATTAATCAATATTTCTTTTTCCTTTGTGTGTTTTTTAGAGGAAGAAGAATCCACGCAGAGTGTCCGCCCTCAGCCTTCCATCAACCTGGTTATCCTGGGAGCTTTAGCTGAGAACTTCAATCTAAGGGTCAATCTAGGGGTATGTTAAATCAGCCACTGGAAGCTCTGAACTGTTTCCAAAACAAAACTTTTAGAGTGAGCCTGGATCTGTGGAAACTCCAAGCAGTGGAAAACATCAGACCTGGTTTCTCTGGAGAACTCTGCAGCTCTAATGCTACGTTCACACCGGACGCAGCAAGAGCAGCAAAATCGCGTCTGCTGCTTAATTTTTGCTGCTTGTACCAGTTTAGTTGTGATGCGCGACTGAAGCAGCTTTGCTGCTCTGGCTGCGCGGTGCAAAACTGTCTCTGACGCGCGTTGGGCAGAGCTACTCTATCCTTTCTCTGCCTTGCAGCTATATTTGCTGTGATCAGTGGGAATAAAGTAGTTTTAATATGTTTTTAAGTGAGAAAATCCACCTGAAAACTTCATGAGTGCACTCAGTTCATCCAGATTACAATCCCACCTTCCAATGTTTTTTCTGTCAGAGCCACTCAGACCCCCACATACCAGCTGTGCGCTGTCAGTAGGATCCCTTCAACAGCAGCCTCTGGCCGGGTCGGCTTGTTGCGGTTCACCGCGGCGGCTGGTAGGTGTTTTTCATCTAAATAATCCAAACTGCAGGCACCAGAATAATAAAAGCGAACATATTCTGCCGGCAGATTTCTGCATTTTAAGTTAATTTATGCGTCAGTAAACTGTTTCAGAGGATCGATCACAGCGCTCTGTGTCATCAGCGCTGTGTCTCTCTCCCTGCCAGCTCCCAGATCAGCTTCTCTGATTGGTTGACGCGGCGCGTCGAGCAGCAAAAGTTAAATTTTTCCATCTCGAGCAGCAGCGCGTTTGCGCTAATGCTCGAATTCAAAATGCTAGCATGTTGTTGCCCAACAGTCAACGCAAATATTTAGCCAGAAACTCCCTGACCTCTGTGCCTGACCCGCACCTCTGTTCATCTCCAGCATTTAGCAGCAGGAGAAACATCAGAGCGCTTCCTTTGTTCTTCAGGCTAGGGGTGGAACGGTTCACAAAATCCACGGTTCGGTTCACGATTTTGTGGTGATGGTTTTGGGTTCGGTTCGGTATATGTTTATTGTTACACCGAAAAATGCAAAAATTAATAAAAATTTATGAAAAAATAAAAATTTATGAAATTAATGACAATATCCAAAAGAATTAATGAATTGTAATTATTTTTAATGCTCCGTGGAAACCCTGGATCATTTCCGTATGTTTTGCTGCTTTAAATTTAATCATCTGGCGCATGCTCTCTACGATCTCCAAGGAACTCGGAGCGGAGCGGACGGGAGCCACAGTGGAGGCTATAGGCTGTGCTTTGTGCAGCCGGTCTGGAGCGCAGCGCTGACGGAGTATGAGGGATTTCGGGGTTAGCATTAGGGGTGTGCAAAATAATCGTGATGATGATGCATCGTGATTCTAATTTTCGTGATCTACTGCATCGATTCTTGATGCCAAGAATCGATTATTAATTTAAAAAAATGAATAAATAAAATTGCATGAATGGTTGGCGAACATCAGCCAAAAACAAGTGCAATACCACTTCCAGTCCAGTAGATGTCGCTGCAAATGTGTTGACGCACGCTGCCTTGTGTCACAAGCATTTCCGGCCGTGGGATACTGTGCCGAGTCATTAAAAAACAAAACATGGAGGAGAAAATATTGCAATGCATCGCAATAATTCAAGTATCGTGATGCATCGTGATAGAATCGCATCGTGGCCTGTGAATCGTGATTCGAATCGAATCGTGACTTCTTTGGCAATACCCACCCCTAGTTAGCATGACATGTTGGTCATGTTGCTATTAGCATAAACAAAACGTGTTGCACAATGCTTGCACACTGTTGCACTTTTATCCACAACTTCCTTTCCGCCGTCATCGTAGGTCACACTAAATGCAAAGCAGTCCCATACAGCAGACCTATAAAGTGCTGCTGGCGCGTCTTCCAACTCCTGTTCTTTCCCACTCGCCATACCCACACAATTCTCCACAACAACTGATTTTTTTCTGCTAAGCTGCTTCGCTTCTTCTTCTTGTTTACTACTGGTGGTTGGCTTTGGTCGCAGTACCGCCACCTTCTGCTCTGGAGTGTAAACGCTTCGCCTATGAGAAAAGGGAGCAGCGCATGAACCGAACGCAACACACTCGAATCGAACCGAGACAGTCGAACCGAACGGTAGATGGGTATTTATATAGATGGGAATTCATAGCTAATGCATCAAATGATGTAGGCTTTGCAGCCTTTTGGTTCTGTAGTTAACCATCTGGTCCACTTCAGGTTCTGCCATCTGAAAGCGATCCAGGACGAGTTCAGACGGAGCTTTGATCAGTTGACCATGCCGAGCTTGGTTCTTTACGGCCGTTTACACATCACGCTAGCACAGTTCCTTGCCTCCTAGTGGTGATCTACTGTACTACTGCTCTCTAAGATTGAAAGAGGAAATCATGCTAATCAAAATGGCTTCGCCCTTATTATTCAGGAAGTTATGTTTGGTTATAATTGTGATATTTGGTTGTTTGCGGAGAGTCCGGCAAATAAGGTGGCCTTTGGTGAGTTTACTTGTCATCTCTCCAGGTATATACCCCCATGCACCTTTTCCTCCTTTTGGCTCCTTCTTATTGACTATTGAGCCGTTGTAACAAGTACATTTGCCGCCTCCTCTTCTTGCTCTGTTTCCCTGGCGCCTTCTCACATGTACCGTGGTCTTTCTCATGGTCAGCCGCAGCATCTCTTCTCCACCTTCTCTAGCCAGCCTTGGCTCAGTCGTAGCCTCTCCTCCTTCAGCGCTTTGTTAGTCCAGCAAACGTATCCGATCTGCTTCAGTCCTCCACAGGCCTATCTGGCTGCAGTCCCATAACGGCGATCTGTACAGTCACTGGTTTGTCAGGTCTGAGCTGCCGTAGAGCAAAGATGTCTTCCTCCTTATAAAGCTGACCCTTCTCCTAGGTAATTATGAATAGCAACTTCTAAGGCAAGCCACGCATAAGGATTGATACTTTCCCTTTATAGGTGATAAAAGATCACATGCTTATGTTTAATATGTTACATTTCAGTCAGGAAATCCCTGAAATTAATACAGACTAGCTTTAAATGGGTGATAGAATGATTCTATAGGGTATCTGGTCCTTAAGGTCTCAGAATAGGGTGTGTAACATTGGTTGGGCTGAAAATGGCATATTTGCTGTTCTATGAGCCCTAATGCAGCCTGGTTAAAAGCCCTAGAATGAAACGACAGGTTTTCTTCCTTTTATGGTATGATCATGAATATTTAGATGAGCTGTGCTATGATTGGTTGGTTTACAACGAGCGAAGCTGCTGAGCAAAAACGCATCATAGGAAAAAGCACTCACTCACTGAAACATCAAATTGTTCATATGGTAGGGAGACCATGTCCTACTTTGCATACCCCAAAAAATATCCAGGGAAAATTTCAATTTTGGTCGATTACAGTGAAGCAGAACCAAGGCTTGTCCGGGAACCCCGGCGGACGGCGGCAGGGAGTCAGCGGGGGACGGATTGACCGACTCGGTGATGGTAGATAATAATAATAATCTGGTCACCATAAATACAACTTAGCAACTGAATCATCCTTCCAGCTGGCGGTTGTGATGGCCTTACGGTGGGCACAGCCCCTCGTTTCAATAAAAGAAGTTTAGCAAATACTGCTATAAACTTTCCTAGAATTTGAAAGCTGTCTTCGGTAAAATGCTTAAAGCAAATGAACAGCTGAGCATCAAACTTTGCAGGGATCTTCTAATAGACAAAAATAATCCATGTCTGTCGAGTCTTCGGATCCTTGGGGAGACTGAAAATTTTCCTCTTTCTCCGGTCAGCCTAGAACACTGCATTTACTGTATGACCATTTCCGGGGCAAGGCAAAAGTCCAGGCCAGAACCAAATAAGGCAACATCCCTGAGTTTACTTTAACACGGTGCTTCTTTGGGATTCGCCCGTTTTATGGTGGAAGTTTAGAATTGTGAGATTTGCAGAGAAAGGAGGTGTCTATGGGGTTTGAACTTCTCTGTACGTCCATTTCACCCACTGAACGATTGTTATTCATCTATGACAACGAAACAAGGTTTTGCATTCAATGACCCCTTCAACCTTGACAGCTATACCAAATTTTGTCTGATGTATAAAATCCCAATCAAAAAGGTTTTTGTTTATCATGCTACAAATGTGGAGAGGTCAGAGGCCTATGAAAACTTTTAGAAGGATGGATGGGGATAATAAAGCTCTTCCTTTTACTGCCGCTCAACCAAAGTCAGTAAAGTTTGAGCTGTTTGCCTTCAGCTCCAGAGCGAGCGGCTGGAAGAGAAGCTCCTCTAATCTCACCTCCTTCATCGGCGTTAAACTCCGTCTCTCTTGATCAGAGCTCCCCTGGCTGTGCAGCTCTGCTCCAGGATTATCATCTGAACCTTTTTCAGTCCTGATTTAACGCTCACCTTGGAGGCAGAGCAAACTCTTCACCATCGTCATATCTGCACTTTGTTGTGACTCTTTATCTCTGCAGATTCTCTCCTGCCTCAGTCCGTCCTCCTCTGGGAGGATGGAGACGTGTTTATCGCTGTGATCTTGGATGCTGCTAACATCCTGCTTGTTGTTTTCTCTTCTTTGTTGCAGGATGTGGTTTTGGCCTCTGGGTTCACGGTTGGTAAATCTCCCACCGCTAATAAGGACAAGCTTCACGCCTGTAACCTGCTGCTGTCAGGAGATGATGCATCCATCTATGTGAGCAGCGTCTTTAACTGCTGTGGGATCTAAATTCATTGGCAGCAGAAGTCATTTATGGATTAATATGTTTAATTTGAATGCTGTTGACTCCATGAACCAAACACCAGTAAAATAATCTGCAGTGCAGTAAGAATAAACTGGACTGATTATAACTCTGCAGAAGCAGCTCAGTTCAATCCTCCTAAGCTATTTTGATCACTGAGATGGGTTGTGACCCCCTAGTGGGCGGAGAATGAACTGCAGCATATTGGTCAGATTCACTGAGTTTTATCTCTAAATAAATGAGTTTTCCTCAGGGATTAAGACCTGAAAGCTGAAGAATTATTCTTAGAGATTATAGAGAAAGCCCTCTGGTCTGACCGGTTCTATTTCTCCTGGGATAAAGTCCAACTGATGTTTTCTGCAGGTCTCCAAGCAGAAGCCTGCTGAGCCCAAATCACCACTGGCCAGGAAGAGGAGCTCCTTGATTCCTGCAGAGGTGAGTCGGAGCTCATAGACCTAGAATGGTTTATTCTGCAGTTCCCGTTCCAGTAGAACCACAGCCCACTGCTTGCATCTGTAACAGCAGCATACTGACACTGGGTGCAGGGCAGCTATTGGTTAGACTGACTCAGACTCTAAATGTTAATTAGCACAAACAGTTAGCCCGGCTGCTAGTGCTCTTCAGCACTGCTTCTCTTTTCAGGGTTCCAGGGCAGCCAAGGGTCCAAAGTACAGCTATGTGCATCTGGATCAGCTGAAGGATAAATCTGTGGTGAACGTCTATGGAGTGGTGACGTTCTTCAAGCAGCCGTTCAAGACCCGGGGTACAGGTGAGTTCAAGGTCTGATAGCTGACCTCAGAACAGCTGAGAGAGGAAATGGCCCCCTGGTTCCTTGGTGCAGGAATTTCTCTCCATCAGAAAAGCTTTGACTCATTGCAAAGTCTGACTCATTGCAATGATTCCCAAAATAGATCCTTGTGTTGACACCTTGTGACCAGGTGTTTATCATTAACGGGGTAGTCCTCGTTAACCGGGTGTTCATTGTTAACGGGGTGTTCATCTTTAATCGGTGGTCGTCATTAACCGGGTGTTCCTTGTTAACCAAGCAGGACGTTTGCTCCACTCACAGAACTGGTAATGGGGGCCGATATAAAGCTTGTTTACAAGCCGTTAACCGGGTGCTTGCCGTTAACCGGGTGTTTGCCGTTAACCGGGTGCTCGCTGTTAACCGGGTGCTCGCCGTTAACCGGGTAGTCCTCGTGAATCGGGTGTTTCTCGTTAACCGGCTGTTCCTCATTAACTGGATAGTCCTCGTTAACCGGGTGTTCCTCAATAACCAGGTGTTCATCATTAACGGAGTTGTCCTCGTTAACCGGGTGTTCCTTGTTAACCGGGTGATCATCATTAACGGGGTGTTCATCTTTAATCGGTGGTCGTCATTAACCGGGTGTTAACCAAGCAGGACGTTTGCTCCACTCACAGAACTGGTAATGGGGGCCGATATGAAGCTTGTTTACCAGCCTAACAAAACATAAACCAGGCAGTTTAAATGTTGACATCTATTAACTCAGGTTCTCGCTGTCTAATATCATAGTTTAATGATCTGAAACTTTCGCACCATTCTGAACACAGCAGAAATCTCAGTCCCTGATGTTTTCAGGTACCTGACTGCTCTGCTTATGAATGGTGTCAGATAAAGGAGACAAACTGGAGCTTTTCTCTTTCCTCCAGGATTCCAAGGTTTACTTAATCTGATCAGAGTTCTTTTACCTACAGATTACTGCTCCACCCTGAAGATAACTGACCAGTCCAACCAGAAGGTCGGGTGCACTATCTTCTGTGGGAATCTGGAGGACCACCCCAAGATTTTTGAGATTGGAGACATTGTCCGCATGCATCGAGTCAAGGTCCATGAAAAACTTCTTTTTCAGAAAATCAATCCCTTTCAAACCAGCACTGTTGTTCCTTTTAGTATAAAATAGGACAGAAGATGTCTTTATTGTTCCAAAGAGGGGAATTAATGGTCTGAGCAGCAAAGTAACAGCCTCATCAGGAAAGAGTCACACAAAGTGTTCACATTCAAAAGGTTTGGGACGGCGTGTAGAAAGAGTCAGACATGAAGGACATGATTGGAAAACAGGGGAATAAAGTGGCTGCTAACTGGTCTGGATCCAGTTAGAGGTTAGGTTGAACTTGTCTTATACTTTTGTTATAAACACCAAATGAAACTAATTTTATGTTTTTCTAAACAGGTGGGTCTATACAACAACTCCCCCACTCTGGTCAATACCTCTGGTTTCTCTGTGCTGACATTTAGTGGCACAGTGGGCGCCGCCGTTGAACCGCGGACCCGCAGTAAAACCTTCCACTTCGGCAAGGACGACCGGCGCGCCGTGGAGGAGCTGAGATCCTGGGCTGCGAGCCACAGCCCACTCCCACCCAGCTCTACCGCTGTCACTCTGGCAGCCGTTCAGCCCAACACCTACTTTGACCTGACCTGCCAGCTGCTGGCCAAAGCCCCCATTGAGTCCTCCTGCACTCTGCTGAGGGTAGGTGCTCTCATTGTTAAATTAAATGGTGAATAAAGTGCTCAGAAGGTCACTGCTTTGGCTATCTGTAACACAAAGGTGCTCATCAGTGAGATGGTCCTTCAGCTTCACATCTCATCTAAATCGTGCAGAGAGGAGTAACAAGTTGACTGCTGCAGCAGTGACGGCGCTGAAGGGACTGAAGTATCATCATTCTGCCTCTTCGTAAACAGGGCAGGTTGTCATGGTTATAGAAATATTCCTGCCTTGGCTTCCACACCATTCCTGCTCAGGAAGTACGCAGCGTCTTTATCTTTAAAAGAAGATGGTTCAGCCTCTCTGATTATTTTTAGTTTGTTATGAAATCCTAAGCTTTCAGTAAAAACACAGGGTGCTATTCAAACTCAACAAGTATGACATCATAGCTGGTTTACAGGTCTGATGATGGACTTCCTGTAGGATTATGTTCTCTTTTCCTTTACTCCACCTGATCTAAAACAGATCAACAAACCGGTTGTGGCTGGTCTGCTGGGTTTAGCACTGCTGCAAACATTTCAATTAGAGTGGTATCTTTAACGAGGTGTCGCAGACCGCAGAGATTGGATTTTCTGCACAGAATGGGAGCTAGCCTTAACCCTTTAAAGCCCGATCCAAGAATAAAACAAAACAGAAAACAACTTTTTTTTTTTGTTTGAAGTCCTTATTTGGCCTTTTAACAAAATATGTAAAAAGAAAAAACAGAAATAAATTTTTGATACTAATAATTTATTACTATGCGATAAGTCAAGATTATTTTTTGTGTAGTCTTCTGCCCTCTGTTATCAGGTATATCTGATTGTGTACAATAGGATTTTGAGCAAAGTTTTTACCATTAAATTATGCAAAAGGTGTCAGATGCAAAACATTTCAGAAACCGTATGTATCAAATATGATACATTTGATATTGCATGGTTAAAGGGGAACGCCGTTTTTTTTTAACTGGGTCCTTGATTCTACGTTATTCCATCATGTTCTACTCACCCATATGAGTTTTGTGTCATTTGGAGCCGTTCTGAAGATATTCCATTAGTTTATATCCAAGTAACGTCTTCCTATGGGCAACGACTTGAAGGCACAAACTAAACTGTTCATAATTTATTCTTTATGGTATGCCAGCATTCATAACATGTAGGCCAATCACTGTCCCCCAGACATCCACGGTTATATTTTTTTATATTTATGTTTTAAAAACAAACCAAAGTGTGTATGACATCATCCGTGCACGCTGGCAACCATTCATTCATCCTGTCCGCTGAACTGCTGCTAGTTTTCCTCACATGCCTGGAAGATGTCTAGTGCTGCTACCACAGATGATCTTGCTCTCCAAATGGAATTGAACAATTCAGATTAGCTAGAATAAATAGAAGGGGTAGAGCGTAGCCGCCTGATGTCATACACACGCCGCTTTGTTTTAAAAAATATAAATATAAAAAATAAAACCGTGGATGTGTGGGGGACAGTGATTGGCCTACATGTTATGAATGCTGGCGTACCATAAAGAATAAATTATGAACAGTTTAGTTTGTGCCTTCAACTCCTAACGGAATATCTTCAGAACGGCTCCAAATGACACTAAACTCATATGGGTGAGTAGAACATGATGTAATAACGTAAAATTAAGGGGGGTGTTCCCCTTTAAGATCTGAAGGTCTTTCAGGCTTAGGTGTCAAAAATCCGCCTGCATCCTGCACCAATAACCCACAGCAGAATAAAGAGAGATGTTGGTGGGATCTTTCAGCATCTAAATAGGAAGACAGCTCCAGGACCCGATGCTCATCCACATCTTTAAGAGACACCATCCTCATCCTGATCCCCAAGAGCCACAAACCCACAGGACTTAACAACTACAGACCTGTTGCGCTGACGTCTGCTGTGCTGAAGCATCTGACGGACATCCTAGGCCCCTGGCTGGACCCCTGCAGCCTACCTGCTGGGCCCACAGCTCACAGGAAACGGTCACTACAGTAGTGATGTATGCACTACTAGTGCAACTAGACTGGGCTGCAGATCGTAGTTGTAGACCTCAGCTTCAGTGCCATCAAACCCCGCCATTAGAAGCTCGCAGTGCTGGCCTCCACCTGACCGTAGATGGCAGCAGAGAGTAAGAGCATCTTGTGCTACTTCAGAACTGTCAGCAGCCTTCAAATAGTCTGGGTGCGTGTAGACCACCTGGATGGGCTGGACTGGTCCAACACTGTGTCATTATTGGTTGTGTTGAAGACTTTAAACCTGTGAGGAACTGTTTTACTTCTGCTCCTCTTACCATGGAGGTAAACGCTGGTCTGCAGCATCATCTTCCTCTGCTTCCTCCATCTCCTAGGTGTGGGATGGAACCAGATGTCCTCAGACTCTCCTAAAGGTGATAGTTGAGCCAAACGTCACAGAAGGTCCGCATTCATTCTCCAAGAAGAAAGAGGGCGTCATCGCAAATGTCCTAGTGTACGATAACCACGTGGAGACGTCAAGACAGCTGCAGGTAAGACCTTTGGAGTTGTTGCTTGACTAAAGCGAATGCATCTCTTGTAGGAACGGTTGGGTTAGTATTCACAAGCGGTCTCCTGATACTGTGATGGTCGACCTCTCACAGCAGCTCCAGGCTCCCTTTTCTCTGAAGCTTCTCCATCATCTATAGACAGATGTTTTCACTCTGCTATGCAGGACATCTCTGCTCCATACAGCAGGATGAAAGACAGCATCTTCAGATCAGCTGCAGGACTCTGGCTCCGCCCCCTCAGGATGTCCAGAGTGGTTCTGATCCAGATGTTTGTGTCCTGGAGGTCTGATCTGAGGTCCAGAACAGGCTCCATCCAGGATGTTTCTGCTCATTGCTGCATTCGTCTTCCCCCATCTTCTATAAACCCCCCATAGCATGATGCTGCCTCCACCATGCCTCTCTGAGAGGATAGTGTCGGCCTGGTGATGAGTGATGACTGGTTTCCTTCCTGATGATCCCGCCAAAGAGATTAACCGCTGATGTAGGCCGATACTCTTGTCAGTGGAGGCTAATGAGCTCACTGGGACCTTCTCCGGTTTTCCCTCCAGACCTTCCTGCCTCTGCGGTGTTTCCTCTGACCTAATGCTTGCTGTTTTTGCTCTGTCATCCACCGTCAGCCTTCTACAGACCATAATGAGTCTTTCCTCATCAGTTCCATCAGCCAATTTACCACAGGTGGATCCATCCAAGCTGGAGAAACACCTTCAGGATAAAGCGGTTGGAACTCAGCTCAGTAAGGAGCTTCATGGTGAAGGCTGTGAATCCTTTTTCATTTTTAATACATCTTAAACGGTATGACTGAAGTTCCTGCTCACCAGCACCAGCTCAGAGTTACATGGCTGACCAATCACTGTGCTGCATTCACCTGCACCAAGACTCCCTTTTATCATAAAATACATTCCTCACTTCATCTTATTTATTCTGGATAAATAGATAATCAACTATTTCAACAAACGTTAATGACTTTCCAAACCTGTTACCTTTTCATGTTATAAAAGTAGATTTATACTCTGTAATCAACAATCAACTTTACGGTTAAACCGTCCGGTAATAAATCAGTGTTTGAACTTGGTTGTTTTCTGATGTAATGAAGGATTCCAGGAGGACTTCAGGTGTCTTTCCCTGAAACAGGAGCATCTAGCAGCTATCTGGAAGACCAGGAGGCAAAGGCCAGACTAAGAGAGACGTCTGTTCAGTAGAGACGGTCCGGCCTTCGGCTTTAAACCAGGAGACGTCTGCTCAGTACAGACGGTCCGGCCTTCGGCTTTAAACCAGGAGACGTCTTCTCAGTACAGACAGTCCGGCCTTCGACTTTAAACCAGGAGACGTCTGCTCAGTACAGACGGTCCGGCCTTCGACTTTAAACCAGGAGACGTCTGCTCAGTACAGACGGTCTGGCCTTCGTCTTTAAACCAGTAGAAGTCTGCTCAGTACAGACTGTCCGGCCTTCATATTTAAACCAGGAGACGTCTGCTCAGTACAGACAGTCCGGCCTTCGACTTTAAACCAGGAGACGTCTGCTCAGTACAGACGGTCTGGCCTTCGTCTTTAAACCAGTAGAAGTCTGCTCAGTACAGACTGTCCGGCCTTCATATTTAAACCAGTAGAAGTCTGCTCAGTACAGACGGTCTGGCCTTCATATTTAAACCAGTAGAAGTCTGCTCAGTACAGACTGTCCGGCCTTCATATTTAAACCAGTAGAAGTCTGCTCAGTACAGACGGTCTGGCCTTCATATTTAAACCAGTAGAAGTCTGCTCAGTACAGACGGTCTGGCCTTCATATTTAAACCAGTAGAAGTCTGCTCAGTACAGACGGTCCGGCCTTCATATTTAAACCAGTAGAAGTCTGCTCAGTACAGACGGTCCGGCCTTCATATTTAAACCAGGAGACGTCTGTTCAGTACAGACGGTCCGGCCTTCATATTTAAACCAGGAGACGTCTGTTCAGTACAGACGGTCCGGCCTTCGACTTTAAACCAGGAGACGTCTGCTCAGTACAGACGGTCCGGCCTTCATATTTAAACCAGGAGATGTCTGTTCAGTACAGACGGCCCGGCCTTCGTCTTTAAACCAGTAGAAGTCTGCTCAGTACAGACGGTCCGGCCTTCATATTTAAACCAGGAGAAGTCTGCTCAGTACAGACGGTCCGGCCTTCATATTTAAACCAGGAGACGTCTGCTCAGTACAGACGGTCCGGCCTTCATATTTAAACCAGGAGAAGTCTGCTCAGTACAGACTGTCCGGCCTTCATATTTAAACCAGGAGACGTCTGCTCAGTACAGACGGTCCGGCCTTCGACTTTAAACCAGGAGACGTCTGCTCAGTACAGACGGTCTGGCCTTCGTCTTTAAACCAGTAGAAGTCTGCTCAGTACAGACGGTCCGGCCTTCATATTTAAACCAGTAGAAGTCTGCTCAGTACAGACGGTCCGGCCTTCATATTTAAACCAGGAGACGTCTGTTCAGTACAGACGGTCCGGCCTTCATATTTAAACCAGGAGACGTCTGTTCAGTACAGACGGTCCGGCCTTCGTCTTCAAACCAGGAGACGTCTGTTCAGTACAGACGGTCCGGCCTTCATATTTAAACCAGGAGACGTCTGTTCAGTACAGACGGTCCGGCCTTCGTCTTTAAACCAGGAGACGTCTGTTCAGTACAGACGGTCCGGCCTTCATATTTAAACCAGGAGACGTCTGTTCAGTACAGACGGTCCGGCCTTCGTCTTTAAACCAGGAGACGTCTGTTCAGTACAGACGGCCCGGCCTTCGTCTTCAAACCAGGAGACGTCTGTTCAGTACAGACGGTCCGGCCTTCATATTTAAACCAGGAGAAGTCTGCTCAGTACAGACGGTCCGGCCTTCGTCTTTAAACCAGGAGACGTCTGTTCAGTACAGACGGCCCGGCCTTCGTCTTTAAACCAGGAGACGTCTGCTCAGTACAGACGGTCCGGCCTTCGTCTTTAAACCAGGAGACGTCTGTTCAGTACAGACGGCCCGGCCTTCGTCTTTAAACCAGGAGACGTCTGCTCAGTACAGACGGCCCGGCCTTCGTCTTTAAACCAGGAGACGTCTGCTCAGTACAGACGGTCCGGCCTTCGTCTTTAAACCAGTAGACGTCTGCTCAGTACAGACGGTCCGGCCTTCATATTTAAACCAGGAGACGTCTGTTCAGTACAGACGGTCCGGCCTTCGTATTTAAACCAGGAGACGTCTGCTCAGTACAGACGGCCCGGCCTTCGTCTTTAAACCAGGAGAAGTCTACTCAGTACAGACGGTCCGGCCTTTGTCTTTGAACTTAGAGTAAAATAAGAAATATTTGGGACTGAAGGTTGATCAGGCCCTGTCAAACATTCTTTCAGCTGTTATCAGGTTCACCTGTTCAGTGATCTGTCAGCATGAACACAAGAACCATAGGTCTTATTCAAACATGGGTTTGCTGCGTCAAGGACTAAGGCCTCCGTACATGGGTCGTATGTGCTAACCACTGCGACACCAAAGCACGCCCCGCAAAAGACGTTTTCAAAGCAGTTCTTTGATTGATGATGCTTCATACCAGCTGAGGTCTGTTAAGCTGCGGATGCTTTCAGCTCATTTCCTAACTTAAGCTTTTTATCCAGAAGGCAATACCATGAAGGGGAACAAATTATAATCCAGAAGTTTGGACTCTTTTATCTGTTTAGTTTGGAAGAATCGGCCCAGTAGAAAGCCAATGAAATCATTGGTCTCATCAGATGTGACTTTATCAGATATCATTGGAGCTGGTGGGGAATGATTTCTATTGATGGAGCTGAGATTGGATCGGCACTGGGAGATCAGAGTGTTCTGTGCAGGAAACAGATAGGGGGACCATCTCTAAACTGTAATGTGATAAGGAAGCTTCAGTCAGAAATGGGGAATGTGGCTGAAAATAAAGGTGCTTTTCCAGCTAAACCATGAGCTCAGCTGCTGGGTTTATCAGCTGATTGGGTCCACTGCTTCCTGTCGGTCTACTTGCTGGCAGGTCAGCCTCAGGCACGTAGCTGGAAGTGTTGCAGTCAGTATGTTAACAACAGTCAGACTCTGGGTACAGGTTATCAGTCAGTGAACGGCCAATGAGAAACCATGATGGTTAGAGGCCACCAGCGCCTACTGATGTGGTCGATGGTGATTAGCAGATAACTGGGGAGGCTGCAGTAGTTAGCTTAGAGTGCTGCATCGCAGGATAAACTCTTCTCCTGGTTTATTTATCTCCATCTTTAGTCAAGGTGGTCCTGATTCATAGTCTGCTCTGATGCATCGGTCCCCAACAAATGAAAACACTGCTTCCTCTAACCCGGAGGCCTGCTTGATCTGGTGAAGCTTTTCTTCATGTCATCAGCTTATAACCGTGTCACTGCCTCGTTTGAGATAACTTAATAATGAACTTATCAGGTTTGATTCTTTAGCCTGCTTTATTTGGGGTTTGACAAGCGTTTCTATAGCAACATGTCAGAAAGGTGTTTGATGATGCAGCGTCCTGGTCTGCCACCTGCAGTAGGACCCCAACCACATCAAGATCCCATCCTTGCTCTTTATTCTTCCACCTTTAGGCTTCAAATAGAAAAATAAAACAGTTAAGTCCTTATTTGGACACTACTTCCTGCTGTCATTGGTTAAATTTATTTTTTTAAATTTAGATAAATGGTTTTATTTATTTTTGGATAAACGTCAGCTGACCTCCCTGTTGAAGGAGCCGCTCTGCTCCAGATTGAACCAGTCAGCTTGACAGACGGGAAACATGGAGAAGAACATGTGGGATGAGCTGAGAAGGAGCAGCGCTGCCGCCTCCATTCCATTAGTCTATTATAACGCATCAGCTGACGTCCAGTGGAGGCTGATAAGTCCCGCCCTACGGCAGCCATGTTCCGGTGGCAGAGACTGTTCCTAAATTAAATGTTTACATTGGAAAGAGGATGCAATGCTGGGTCAAACTAAATCCTAAAACCTCAATACGCCTGATTAGTGCAGGTTTAATGTATTAACTTTCCTTGATGAAATAAAATGAAGGAAAACCTGAATCAGTCTTGATGAATCATCAGCTGGAATCTGAAGCTCATTTAGAAAAGAATTTACCATAAAGAAAAGTTTACTGAGAGGAAATGAGGACCAATGCTTTAACATCCACCAAAGCACTGACCAATGGACCTGCTGCTCCTCCCAGGAGACCTTGATCTCTCCTGCTGGAACCTCCACACTGCTGCACCAAGCAGGGCTGCAAAGCCACGTTGTGTCGCTGCAGCTTTTAAAGCCCATTTCCTGCTGTGCCATAAAATGGCACTATGAAAAAAACGGTTTCTTCTGAGTCAGGCCACAAGCTTTTTGGCTGCTTATTGAGCCTCTGCTCTGCCCAGAGCGGTCTTTGAGATTCAGAGGAAGCTGCTTTCCTGAGCAGCCAGGCAGCACAAACACCCTGAGACAGGCCAGCGCAGCTGGGAGCCCACTGTCGACTTTTTATACAAAACAAGTCATTCCAGAGAACGCCATGGGCGCCACTCTTCTTTTAAAAATGGCTGGCCCAAAGCGTGAGGTGCATTAGGTGCTGCTCTCCCTGAACTGTGGAACAGTGTTTGACTCACGGCCTTTAGTGCACTTGGAGTAATGTGACCACTCCAAACGCTGCCTCCTTTTCTCTGCCAGTAAGTCATTTCCTTTCGATTAAAAGGAAAGTTCCGGTTTTCTTAGTTCCAGTGAATAATGCTACTAATGCCATGCTTCAGGTGCTAACTAGTCCAGTCAGCAGTTTAATGGGTTCTGTTTTGCAGCCCTTCAGGTGACCTTTAGTAGATATTTACATGGAAACCTTTGCAGAGCATGGTTTTCCCTCTGCTCCATGTCACAGTATGAATTCTGACTAAGAACGACCTTCCGATCACAGACTCAAGACGAGGGTTTAGCGTACGTGTCTGCTTAGCTAACTGTGTTTCTGAACTGGATATTTCATCATACGGTGGTTCCAGCAGGAAAGATGGTTTCTGTACAGTCATCTGCATCTTCATTGGAGGTCATCAGAGGAAACAACTGGATTCATGCTTTCGCATCTGGACATTTTTGAGTCAGAATAAGTCTTTGAACATGAAGCCCCTTTTCTTCCCATCTTCCGCTCGTTACATCCTGCATTCCAGCGCTGATGTGTCTCAGTTAAACTCGGTCCTGTATTCCTGCTGGTCTGAAGAGGTCGCTGTTAGCCTGTGGTTCATCCCATTTAGCTCATTTGGATATTTGGAAGAAATGTTGTCAGATTCCTCCTTCTCCTCTCCTGCTTGTGCACCTCATCCAGGACTCCTCCTTCTCCAGTCATCTGGGATCTGCAGTTGATGTATTTTGGAGTTAATCTGCTGTATGGTCAGATCCCAGATCAGACAGATCTATAATCTATAGGCTGGATGGAAGCTACAAGGTTAGCTCCCTCTAGTTGCTAAATGTTTCTCCACCTGTTCTCTTCATAAAATAAATTTTTAAGACCGGTGCTGAAGTATCCAAGGAGAACCAGATCACAGGAAGCATTCGCTTCTCTTTTCATTTCTGATAGTTTTTTCTTCTGGAAAATATTTTATTATAATAAAATACTCCAGATTTTCATCTATATCCAGTGAAAGAGGAAGGGTGCACTTAGTTTCTTTCCACCTTTATTAGAAAAAAACCTTTAGTGTGACCAAAACTCAAACATTCATTTCATTATCTTTCTCCTGTAGGAGTCTCATTGAGTGTCAGGGGGTCTCTGGGAGTCTCAGGGAGTCTCATTGAGTCTCAGGGGGTCTCTGGGAGACTAAGGGAGTCTCATTGAGTCTCAGGGAGTCTTAGGGAGTCTCAGGGGGTCTCTGGGAGTCTCATCGAGTATCTGGGAGTCTCAGGGAGTCTCATTGAGTCTTAGGGAGTCTCATTGAGTCTCAGGGGGTCTCTGGGAGTCTCAGGGGGTCTCTGGGAGTCTAAGGGATTCTCATTGAGTCTCAGGGAGTCTTAGGGAGTCTCAGGGGGTCTCTGGGAGTCTTAGGGAGTCTCAGGGAGTCTCATTGAGTCTCAGGGGGTCTAAGGGAGTCTCAGGGAGTCTTAGGGAGTCTCAGGGAATCTTAGGGAGTCTCATTGAGTCTCAGGGGGTCTCTGGGAGTCTTAGGGAGTCTCATTGGGTCTCAGGGGGTCTCTGGGAGTCTTAAGGAGTCTCAGAGAGTCTCAGGGGGTCTTATCTCCCCTGTCTTTGTTTTAAATGGATCTAAAGAGGTTCAGGAGATTCCAGTTTCTATCCTCTGTGCTTTCAGGCAGTAATTCAGTAATATCAGAATAAAATATGAGCAAAATGATGTGGAATGAGTTTGTTTTCAGTTCAGTTTTTAACAGCAGGGATTTTATTCTGAAGGATTATTCTCCATCAATTCTTTGACCCAACTCTGATGCAATACCCCCACCTTGTGGATGCGGTATATAGTTGCACTTCTTTCTATTATGACAACAATTCTGGATTCTTTTATTGTTCATTTAAGGTGAAATTATATCAAGTGGAATTTGAATATCTAATTTGCCACCAACTGATCCAACAGCTTCTTTAAGTTTCTCTGTCATTGACTAATTAACTTGATTTGAGTAGAATTAGCTCTTTAAAAACATGCCTGCCGCTCACATATAAGGAACCCTGATTGACCAATCAGGGACTTTTTGGTCGAGTCATGAAAAATTATTAAGTTGATCATTTTAAAACTCAGCTTACTTTGAATAAAGTCAGGTCAGAGGTCAGACTGGGTCATTGTTCCAGACTATAAACCTCTACTGACTGAATGTATCTGCTCCTTTTCTCCATGTCTGAGCCTGATGATAAACATTTATACTCTGAACAAAATAGCCCAGATGTTGGATTATCTCTATGACCATTACAGTCAGAGGTGAGATGTTGCGTCTCTGCGATACGTCGGTCTTTGATCCGTCGGCTTCTTCCTGATCATGACATCTGCTTTGCTTTAACATTCCTTTGGAAGACGTCTTCATGGTTTAATAGATCCGTTCGTCTCCTCAGCCTGGTGCTTTTCTGAGGATCTATAACCTGCGAGCCATCCCTGGATCCAGCAAATTGCCGGGCCTCACCAACAGCCAGCCAGTGGAGGTGGATCCCCTCGCTTTTCATCTTCATGGGGGAACGTCGTACGGCAGAGGCATCAGGATTCTGCCGGAGGACAGTCCAGATGTGCAGGAGCTCAAGAGGTACGTTAGCCAAACCCAGGTGTATATAGATGAAAGGGGCCTACCAGCACCACAACAGCCTGTTATTGTCTTCTATTATTCATGCTTGCTTGTTAAACTCTTACATTAGCTGCCCATCACGTGTTATGGCTGATGTTCATCTAATTAGCAGAATATTGGAAATGAAATGGGAGCACAGACAGAGTGGATGGTTCCTAACAGAGATCACTGTGCATTCAGATTATCTTTGGGTCTCCTGGATACAGCTGCAGTCAGCCAGGTCAGACAGCATCTGTAGGATGGAGTGATGCTGCAGGGGGAGACCCTGGAGATGCTCCTTTAACTGCTATTCTCTGTGAGCCCAGTGGTAAACGCTGCCATCTGTAACACCTGAGTAAGATCCGCTTTAATAAACCGTACTCTGGTCCGGTTTAATGCATCAACATTACCAGGTGTTTGTTCTCACTGATCTGTTCTCAGGAAAAAGCTAAATTAAAGATGTAAACACAGAAACCAAACAGCTCTCTGAGCTGCGTCGCCGCCACCAACAGTTCAGCTGGTAGAAACCATCAGGTTCTATGAAAACAGGTTTATTTAAAGTGTTGAGGGAGGGTAGACTTCAGATAAGGAAGAGGATTGCAGAAGCACCCAGTGGGGGAGGAGGTAGCAGATTAGGCTCTAAACAGCTGGATTTACCTCCAGAATAACTAAATGCACCATAACTGGCCTTCATGCAGAGGGAGGAAGGTACCGGGTGCTCCATAATTCCATTTTCATTTAAAATGCTGCTGTCCTCTTGGTCGTGTGCTTTCAGACTCATGGAGGCGTTTTCAGAGGAGGAGGAGGAGCCGAGTGACTCAGAACTGCTGGAGGTCTTCTCCACTCCTCCAGAATATTTGGGTATGAACGACGTCAGAGCTAGTAGTGACCTCGTCTGTTCTGCAGCTTGTAGGAAGGAGTTTCTGTGATGGAGGAAGGTCTAAAGCAAGCCCTCCAAGTTTTTCCTGCTTCCACAAAGCTGATGATTGCAGTTAATCACCAATAAACAAGAGGAAAATTCTAAAACCTGCAGGACGGTGGCCCTAAAAGACAAACTTCTGGTTTAAAGTAACCTTTTTAGCGAACATTTACTTCCTATTTCATACAGAATGACCTGATAAAGAGGCCCATTATCTGATTAATAGAAACATGTTGCCTGTGAGTGGAATCTGTACAGCTCAGTATTTATCTTTGTGTTTCAGACGGTGATGCAGTGGACCATCAAACTGGTATGAAGATCATTCCTGAGTCTGCTCCAAATTTACGTCAGAACCGTTTTTGACTCTGATGAAGGATCAACCACGGACAGTTTCCTGCTCCGTTTGCTGATGGTGTTCCAGTCCTCAGCTGAGGAGGCGTACAGACCTGCTGGTTCCTGGCGGCCATGTCCGCCATTAGAACGATCATAGAAACATTGATCCAGGCTGTAGATCTGCTGCTGAAACATCTTAGAAACACACCACTAAATGTAAATCCCACATGGAGAACAAAGCTGCACATTTCTACTCTGGATGCCAGCGGCAGCCATCTTGAATAGGTAGAACGGTTCTGGTCGTGGTTCTCTGGCTGTTCAGACAACCATCGATATGGTCATAAATTCTGACCTCTGATCACTAATGGATCAAACCATTTCTTCATTGTGGAACCATCAGTTTAATGCTACATTCACACCAAATGCCCTTTGAGCAGCAGAAGCAGCTGTTTTACATGCAAAGTTTATGGTTGAAGCTTATCAAGGCGCCTGAAGAAGCAGCGCCTTATTCATTTTTGATTTGAAAAAGCTTCCTGGATGTGAAGTAAAACATCTTTAAACTTGGAAACAAAGTCCAGTGGATTGTTTTTTAACTGAGCGCGTCACACGTCGCAGATGTTCAGCGCCTGACGCGCTTCACAAGCAGCAGCTTCTAGAGTTGGAAAAATTTAGCTGCTGATGCGCCACATCAACCAATGAGAGAAGCTGATCTGGGAGCTGGCAGGGAGACAGACACAGCGCTGCTGATGCAGGGGCGCTATGATCACTCCTCTGAAACAGTTTATTAACGCCTAAATTAACTTAAAATGTAGAAACCTGCCGGCAGAATATGCTCACTTTTATTATCCTGCTGCCTGCAGTTTGTAGCACAGACCTGAAAAACGCTAACATCTACTTCCAGCCGCCACCAACAGTAGGAGAAAACCCCCAAGAGGCGAGCGGGCCTGAGGCAGCTGCTGCTGGGGATTCCCAGTGACAGCTCCCCGCCGGTATGTGGGGGTCTGAGCGGCTCCCACAGAGAAATAATCTTTGAAGGCAGGATGGTAATCTGGATGAACTGACTGCACAGACCATTTCAGGAGGACTTTCTCACTTCAAAATAGATTCAAACTACTTTCTACCCACTGATCACGCATCTGGACACACTTTACTGGACGTCTGACCTTAATGTGGATCAGAGATGAAGCAGCAGAAGCTTCTTTGATGCTGAAATGGCATCTGGTGTGAACGTAGCATAGCACTGGAGCCTGTCTGCCAACATGAAGTTGGCTCCAGAAGACCTGAGCTAATTCATTAAAATGGGAGAAGTGGACAAAGAAGAGGAGGAGGAACCTTCCTCTGAGAGATCAACGTAGCAGCATGACTCCAAACCCTCTTCTTGGAGGTTACTGAGGAGCCCAGTCAACCTCAAAAGCTCTTTAGGACCACTGGCCACCAAAAACCAGCTCCCCTGCAGAGCAGAAAGAAGCTGATGATCATGTTAGACCCCACTATCTGTATCTGACTCTCAGACACTTCCTCATGACGTTTGGAGGGAAATATTCCCCATTAAGTTTCAGGATGTTTGGAATAAACCTGGAATCTTTATCCACCATTAAAACAATGATCTAAACCTGCAGGCCGGACGAGACGACATCAGAAGTTTTCTGTTTCCAGGCAACCGTTTTGTTAAAGAAGCATGGATGTCTGGTCTTCAGTCCGTTTCTCCTCTCTGTTTTTCAGAACGAACCTGCACACATCAGGTCCAACAGGAACCGCTGTCCCAGGTGAAGCAGAATGATCAGAGCCAGGTTCACCACGTCAGAGTCCAGCTCAGCTCCTACCAGCCCCACAGACTCTTCCAGGCTCTCAAGCTCTTCTGCAGCAGATGTTCATCCATGTAGGTCAAACTCTGAGGCTGAGGCTCTGCTGGATCTGGGGCCTGTCTCTGTTAAAGCGGGGTTAGCGCTCTGTCTGTTCTTTAAGTTAGCCACGTTCACCTCAGAGCAGTTAGATGTATCTGATATAGATATATCCGCTCGTCTAGGGACCAGACACCCTACTTTTAAGGCAAGGCTTAAAACTTCCCTTTTTGATAAAGCTTATAGTTAGAGTGGCTCAGGTTATCCTAAGCTATCGCTATAGTTATGCTGCTATAGGCTTAGACTGCTGGAGGACATAGGGACCCTTTTTTCATCATTCTGCTTCATTCTATCTCTATTCTCCCAATCTGCAGAATCTGTTACTTCAATCTCTAACGTTCTGCTCTCTCTGCTTTTTCTCATAGTAGCTTCATCTGGTCTGTTCCTGTTTGGCTGTGACTCCATCCTGGAGAGAAATATCAGCTGAGCTGCTGCCATCAACACCTTTGTTTCTAGATGTTGGAGATCGGCCTGTTTTTCAGTGTAGTCCTATTTCTCTGACCGTGACTGGCTGGATGTGCTCTCTTCATCCTCTGACATAGGAGCTGGCTCAGAGCTTGTCTGCCTGGCTGTGTGTTTCCTGGATGGGGCCGCCTGTGGAGCTGGTTGACAGTTGCCTTTTGTATCTATGCTTCTTTTTCTATGTCTGCTTCTGTCTCCTTGAACCTCAGTCAGCCTCAGCAGATGGCCGCTCACACTGAGCCTGGACTTTTTCCTCTCCACTGTCGCTATTAGCATGCTTAGTATGAGGGATTGCTGAAGAGTCAATGAGTTGATGCAATCAGCTGGTTTTCTTTAGAAAACTTTGAATCAATCTGACTGGATGATCTGGTTGAATTGGATCTATAAAGTGACCTGAAATGACATGATGTGAATTGGAACTATAAAGATAAACTGAATAGAATTGGATGATCACTGCTTTCCAAGGTGCATTATGGGAATTTTTGAGTCCACTACTTTTTCATCCACTAGATTTTCTGACACCAATTTAAAGTGGTGTTGATACTAAATAGTGAATATGGCGGACGTTCGGCCTCAATCTATATGAACCGTATTGCAGCTTAAATGGGGGGGAGGGGGGCTGTGGACCCCGAGGTTTTAAACCTCTGCTTAGAAGTTCCTCCATCGCTGTTCTCTGCTCACAGTCGGGACATCCCTGATGATGAGGAGCTGGCGCTGATCTTCTCGGAGGCATCCAAGCGCTCTGAAGCCTACAGTCCGCCAGAGTGGGCTCTGTCTGGAGAGCTCAGCCTCCCAGGAGACGCCTCAGGATCTCCCAGTGTTCACCTTTCCACTGAGCTGATGAACGAGGGCCAGCAGGACCAGCTCATCTTTCTGAAAGGTAATGGTTGAAAGATGGAGCCTGTATGTCTGCTGCTTCTCCAGTAATGTAAACCTTTCTTCTTCTCAGGTTGCTCTCTGGAGGAGACGTGCCACCTGGCAGCAACTTATAAGAACATTGTTCCCGTGAGGTCATCAGACGGACAGCTGGCGCCGCTGGACCTGTCGGCTCCTTTCCTCTTCAGAGGAAGGAGGAGGTACTACGGGTAATGCTGCCTGTTCCGCCATCTTTGATCAGACCGCTCCAGTTTACGGTAGCGTGCAGCTTTCTGTGTCAGGGCGTCCAAAGAGGGCCCCTGCTCTGAGGGCCTCTGCTCTGATGGCCCCTGCTCTGAGGGCCCCTGCTCCGAGGGCCTCTGCTCTGATGGCCCCTGCTCTGAGGGCCTCTGCTCTGATGGCCCCTGCTCTGAGGGCCCCTGCTCTGAGGGCCTCTGCTCTGATGGCCCCTGCTCTGAGGGCCTCTGCTCTGAGGGCCTCTGCTCTGATGGCCCCTGCTCTGAGGGCCTCTGCTCTGATGGCCCCTGCTCTGAGGGCCCCTGCTCTGAGGGCCTCTGCTCTGAGAGCCTCTGCTTCAGGTTTCCAGGTTTCTGTGTTAAGTGTCAGCACAGAGCAGAATAAAGGAGAGGATTGAGGATCATTTAGAGGAAATAGATCATAATGATCTGGAGCTCAGAAACCAGTCATCAATACATCAATACTGGATGATTGATGTATTCAGTTATGTTGGAAAAGTCAGTGGTTTTGATTATTTGAACATTAGATCTGATTGGATGAAAGGAGATTGAGCGGAGCAGAGGCTGATGGACGTTGGTGCCTCTGAGCCTGAAGACAAACAGTCCAGATGAATTCAATGGGGGAGGAGCCGGTGGCGTTTGTCACTGATGATGTCCCTGCTTTAGGATCTTTGATTAAAGAGGACGGTTAGAAAATGAGCTGATTCCTGTCTGGATCGTCTCCCTCAGGATCACAGACCACCACCATGCTCAGCAGAGGCTGCTGTAGTGCGGTCCTGTGTGTTTGTGAGCCGTTTCTGTATCATAGTGAGGACATTTAACCCTGATTTAGACCGAGGTCAATATTAAGGCCTGCCAGCGTACTGAGGTCCCCATTAAAGGGGAACGCCTGTTTTTTTACATTGGGCCCTTGATTTTATGTTATTCCATCATGTTCTACTCACCCATATGAGTTTAGTGTCATTTGGAGCCGTTCTGAAGATATTCCATTAGGTTATATCCAAGTAACGTCTTCCTATGGGCAACGACTTGAAGGCACAAACTAAACTGTTCATCCTTTATTCTTTATGGTACGCCAGCATTCAGAACATGTTGGCCAATCACTCTCCCCAGACATCCGCCGTTATATTTTTTATGTTTTTTTTTAAAACAACCCCGCCGGCTACCATTCATTCTTCCTGTCCGCTGAACTGCTGCTAGTTTTCCTCACATGCCTGGAAGATGTCTAGTGCTACTACCACAGATGATCTCACTCTCCAAATGGAATTGAACGATTCAGATTAGCTAGAATGAATAGAAGGGGTAGAGCGTAGCCGCCTGTGGCCCGGGCTGCCTGTTATGAATCCAGTCCACTACTTGGATGATACCTTTTTAAAAGGTATAAATAAAAAATATATAACCTTGGATGTCTGGGGTACAGTGATTCGCCTTCATGTTATGAATGCTGGCGTACCATAAAGAATAAATGATGAACAGTTTAGTTTGTGCCTTCAAGTCGTTGCCCATAGGAAGACGTTACTTGGATATAACCTAACGGAATATCTTCAGAAAGGCTCCAAATGACACTAAACTCATATGGGTGAGTAGAACATGATGGAATAACGTAAAATCAAGGGCCCAATGTAAAAAAAAACGGCGTTCCCCTTTAAAGCCTGCCAGCAAACTGAGGTCCAGATTAGGGCTGGGCGATATAGAAAAAAAGCTTATCAATTAAAAGAAAAATGCATATTGATCGATATCGATTATTATTGAAAAGCCTAGCATTTCTATGGGGTATTTTTTCTCACCCCTATTCTTCTAGAGGTGCTGCTGGCACCTCGTTATGGTTCAGCTTAGTTTCCTGCTTTAACCTGAGTTATTACTTTGAAGTTTCTGGCCCCTCAGCATTTTTCTCTCAATTGTTAGAACTACGTGGGAAACTGCCCAGAACTGAATAAATAAATATATATATATATATATATATATATATATATATATATATATATATATATATATATATATTTTTTTTTTTTTTTTTATCAGACTTGGTTTTCACTGGTTCCCTACACATTTTACAGATGACTGTGGCTTGTTTTTTGTATGACTTGCCATGACTGAAATACTGCCAAACTGGCGAACTACAAAAACCCTTCTTTGGAACAATTTCCTCCGCCTCTCCTTGCTGCGACATCTTCATGTGCTCTGTGTTTTGGTTTGAGAGGGCGGCGCTTTGTGACGGCGTGCCTGGGTCCGCGATTGTGATTGGTTGGGAGGAAGTAGTGACTAGCATAAACCTATATGATAGGCTACAATGAGAAGGATGGAAAACTGCGTTTCTTTATCGAACTTTTATCGACACTCTTGTTTTCTATTGCGCCACACGTCTATTGATCGATATATATCATTATTGAATTATCGCCAAGCCCTAGTCCAGATTAAGGCCTGCCAGCGTACTGAGGTCCAGATTAAGGCCTGCCAGCGTACTGAGGTCCAGATTAAGAAATGCCAGCGTACTGAGGTCCAGATAAAGGCCTGTCAGCGTATTGAGGTCCAGATTAAGAAATGCCAGCGTACTGAGGTCCAGATAAAGGCCTGTCAGCGTATTGAGGTCCAGATTAAGAAATGCCAGCGTACTGAGGACCAGATTAAGGCCTGTCAGCGTACTGAGGTCCAGATAAAGGCCTGTCAGCGTATTGAGGTCCAGATTAAGAAATGCCAGCGTACTGAGGTCCTGATTAAGGCCTGCCAGAGTACTGAGGTCCAGATAAAGGCCTGCCAGAGTACTGAGGTCCAGATTAAGGCCTGCCAGAGTACTGAGGTCCAGATTAAGGCCTGCCAGAGTACTGAGGTCCAGATTAAGGCCTGCCAGCGTACTGAGGTCCTGATTAAGGCCTGCCAGAGTACTGAGGTCCAGATAAAGGCCTGCCAGAGTACTGAGGTCCAGATTAAGGCCTGCCAGAGTACTGAGGTCCAGATAAAGGCCTGCCAGAGTACTGAGGTCCAGATAAAGGCCTGCCAGAGTACTGAGGTCCAGATAAAGGCCTGCCAGAGTACTGAGGTCCAGATTAAGGCCTGCCAGAGTACTGAGGTCCAGATTAAGGCCTGCCAGAGTACTGAGGTCCAGATTAAGGCCTGCCAGAGTACTGAGGTCCAGATAAAGGCCTGCCAGAGTACTGAGGTCCAGATTAAGGCCTGCCAGCGTACTGAGGTCCAGATTAAGGCCTGCCAGAGTACTGAGGTCCAGATTAAGGCCTGCCAGAGTACTGAGGTCCAGATTAAGGCCTGCCAGAGTACTGAGGTCCAGATTAAGGCCTGCCAGAGTACTGAGGTCCAGATAAAGGCCTGCCAGAGTACTGAGGTCCAGATTAAGGCCTGCCAGAGTACTGAGGTCCAGATTAAGGCCTGCCAGAGTACTGAGGTCCAGATTAAGGCCTGCCAGAGTACTGAGGTCCAGATAAAGGCCTAGATTAGGGCCTGCCAGCGTACTGAGGTTCAGATTAAGGCCTGCGAGAGTACTGAGGTCCAGATTAAGGCCTGCCAGAGTACTGAGGTCCAGATAAAGGCCTGCCAGAGTACTGAGGTCCAGATAAAGGCCTGCCAGAGTACAGAGGTCCAGATAAAGGCCTGCCAGAGTACTGAGGTCCAGATTAAGGCCTGCCAGAGTACTGAGGTCCAGATAAAGGCCTGCCAGAGTACTGAGGTCCAGATAAAGGCCTGCCAGCGTACTGAGGTCCAGATTAAGGCCTGCCAGCGTACTGAGGTTCAGATTAAGGCCTGCCAGAGTACTGAGGTCCAGATTAAGGCCTGCCAGAGTACTGAGGTCCAGATTAAGGCCTGCCAGAGTACTGAGGTCCAGATAAAGGCCTGCCAGAGTACTGAGGTCCAGATTAAGGCCTGCCAGAGTACTGAGGTCCAGATAAAGGCCTGCCAGAGTACTGAGGTCCAGATTAAGGCCTGCCAGAGTACTGAGGTCCAGATTAAGGCCTGCCAGAGTACTGAGGTCCAGATTAAGGCCTGCCAGAGTACTGAGGTCCAGATAAAGGCCTGCCAGAGTACTGAGGTCCAGATAAAGGCCTGCCAGAGTACTGAGGTCCAGATAAAGGCCTGCCAGAGTACTGAGGTCCAGATTAAGGCCTGCCAGAGTACTGAGGTCCAGATAAAGGCCTGCCAGAGTACTGAGGTCCAGATTAAGGCCTGCCAGAGTACTGAGGTCCAGATAAAGGCCTGCCAGAGTACTGAGGTCCAGATTAAGGCCTGCCAGAGTACTGAGGTCCAGATAAAGGCCTGCCAGAGTACTGAGGTCCAGATTAAGGCCTGCCAGAGTACTGAGGTCCAGATAAAGGCCTGCCAGAGTACTGAGGTCCAGATTAAGGCCTGCCAGAGTACTGAGGTCCAGATTAAGGCCTGCCAGAGTACTGAGGTCCAGATTAAGGCCTGCCAGAGTACTGAGGTCCAGATAAAGGCCTGCCAGAGTACTGAGGTCCAGATAAAGGCCTGCCAGAGTACTGAGGTCCAGATAAAGGCCTGCCAGAGTACTGAGGTCCAGATTAAGGCCTGCCAGAGTACTGAGGTCCAGATAAAGGCCTGCCAGAGTACTGAGGTCCAGATTAAGGCCTGCCAGAGTACTGAGGTCCAGATAAAGGCCTGCCAGAGTACTGAGGTCCAGATTAAGGCCTGCCAGAGTACTGAGGTCCAGATAAAGGCCTGCCAGAGTACGGATAGCAGAACCCAGCTGTGTGTGTTTCAGGTGTAAGCGGTGCTCCAAAGCTGCGCTGGCCGAGCCAAGCGTTGAAGGAAAGGTGAGCCTGGATGAGAAGATCATAGCAGAAGGTGAGACCTGTTCACTGTCCTGGATAGCGGTAACCATAGTAACATGCTTTACCACATGGATGTAAACAAAAGCTAACCCTGCTAACTGGACCTGATGTAGAGCTGGTCTGAATCCGAACCTGTCCCTAAGCTCCGCCCCCTTCTCCATCAGATGGCCGCTCACACTGAGCGTGGTTCTGCTGGAGGTTTCTTCCTGTTAAAAGGGAGTTTTTCCTCTCCACTGTCGCTACAAGCATGCTTAGTGTGAGGGATTGTATTTGAGTCAATTAGTCAATGCAATCAACTGGTTTTCCTTAGATAGAAAACTGAATCAATTTGACTGTTTGAACTGCAAAGTGCCTTGAGATGACGTGTTGTTAATTTGGCGCTAGAGAAATAAACTGAATTGAATTGAATAGTTCCTAGATCCGGTCTTCAGCCTCTATGCTGTCTGGTTCTATGTCCTGTAGCCCTCGGTGTGCAGCTGCTGCAGCCGATGTTGCTGATGAAGCTGATGCTGCAGGACGACTCTGACACTCTGGATGTCTTCCTGTGGAAACATGCGGTGAGTTCCTTCTACTTCTCAGATATCTGTCTTCAGGAAGGAATTAGGGCAGGGGGGTACCAGGCCTGCTGCGGCCCGGTCGGGTCACCCCTGAACACAAACAGTCCCATTCTGATTGGATCCTGGTTCAGTAGCCCCGCTGTTAGGTGGTGGGGGTCTGATCTGAGTGTAAAATCTATGTTTCTGCATCTTTCATCTGTAGAAGCAGGGACAGAATGAGTGGGCTGCACCTACATCTGAAATCATTCAACGGTCTGATTAAATACCGTATAGACCTATGTGACACAGAGTGAACTATTCAAGCCTTTGCTGATAATCACAGCCTATAGATGATAAAACCCAGAAGTCTGTGTCTGAGATTTAATCAATGATCAATGAAAATATAATTATAAAGTAATTGATGAGCTAAAATCTAATTATCTTTGATTCTCCATGAAATTTTTTTTATTAAATCAGTTTCTGATCAAACAGAAACAGTTAATCTCAAACTGCTGCTGTCAGCATGAAGATCCGTTTTCACTAAGAGCTACTCCACCTACTGGGGGTTAAAACCTGAACTGTAACCAGTGCTGATGGAGAACCATCAGTTAGGCTGAAACCAGTCAAACCAGTGCATGGTGCCATCTGGGTCCTTCAGCTTTGCTGCTTCCTCCTTTAGGAGCTTTTCTTCGGCGTGGCAGCAGGAGACGTGTGGACCAATCAGGAGGCTCAGAGCAGCGTCCAGCAGGCGATGGACGCCCTCTGTCCAGCAGAGGGCAGCAGAGGTAGGTCAGCAGCAGCTTTGCTCTGCCTCTCCTGCTTCCAGCGGCTGTCTGATGGTCCGGGTGTTCTGTTGGACCCATTTCCAGGACGTCGGCCGTGGCTGGACCTGTGTCTCCTGGCGTACCGCCCTGAGGGAGACGAGGAGAACCGGACCTGTTACCAGATCTGCAACACCGCCGTCATCAAACATCCGTCTGAATGATTCAAGCTGCCTGGTGAACCTGTGTTCTGATCCACTTCAAGTTGCTTCCTGTGTCACACCTCCTATTTAAGACTGTCAAAATAAAAGCATGCATGAATAAGCTTTCTGAATGCGGTGTTTTATGGGCGGTCATGATGTCATCATCACAGAGGAAGCTCTGCTCCACCTCTGAGTGTGGAGAGATGATGGACCACTGGTGTCCACCCAGACCGACAGGAGTAGAGCATTGGTCAGAGAAGCAGGGGAGGAACTGCAGAGATCCACGGCTCAGGTGGAGGATGTTGGTGTGGCAGACATGTTGAACGAAGAACCAGCAGAGATCTGCTGTAGGAACCAGATCTGCTTCATGCCAGTGAAGTTACGCTACATGATTGGCTGAGCGTTGCTACATGATGTAAAACATTGTGGTTGCCCAGACAACAATAACAAGGCAGCGTCCATGTCCTAAGTTGGTAGCATCTGTAGTGTTGGCGTGTCTAATAACTGATGAGGCTTTACCTTATTGATAACGAAACTGAAATAAATCTGTTTCTGGTGAACAAAGTAACTGTTAGACCTTGATATAAAGAGCTGAGTAGCACTGTGGCTAGCTGTGCTAACAGGTTAGCCTCTTTTAGCTCGGTCAGTTAGCCATATTTAGCTACACTACTTTTAACTTTGTCAACAACCGTTCATTTTCTACAAGTAGAAAATTTGTTTTGTCTAAAATCTCCGTAAACTTCCATTTGTCTTCCTCTGCCCCCAGATCTTAATAAAAAGAATAAAAATAAGTTGAGACTCTTTTTGTCTCCTTGTTAAATAGCAGAGCTCAGTCTGTCTTTAGCAGTGTAGCCAACTCCTCAGTAAGGAAAGTAGCTACTGGCTGGCTTTTTATTTTATTTTTTTTACTTTTTTCCCTTGTGGTCCACTAAGCTTAAAATCATGGTAGCTGGTCCAGTTTCAACCCAAAAAAATTTTACATTAACATTAAAAATCTAAGTGGAACAAAAAAAGACTACAAAGAATCAACGACAATGTGAGCAAATAATGGTAATTATTGTAATTTTTTTTTTAAACTAATAAGATTTCCCTCCACACACACAGGCTGTGCTTGCCTGCTCACAGAAAGATATGGCAGGTTCAGCCACTGAGGGAGCTGACTCCAGCGTGATCAACCTGCGCCGTCAATCCCGCCGCATCCGTGTGGTTCATTTGCAGTGTGGACGCTGAGGGTAAACATGCTGTGGCTCTGACTGCAGAGCTGAGAGGGACTCCTGCGGAAGTGGGAGAAGGGGGTTGGGACGGGTGAGGCGCCCCACGGCAGACACCGGAAAAGTCACTAGTTTTGTCGCTAGTCACTTTTTTGAAAAAGAGTTGCTGGAGGGGTCTGAAAAGTCGATAAATATAGCGACAAAGTCGCTAAGTTGCCAACACTGGTCCTAAGGCCTGATTATCCTCCCTCAGCAGTGTGTCGCAGACATTTTTGATTTATGCCCACTATTGAAGCGTGGTCTGTGCTATGTTATTCCACGCCACAACACCAGGGCCAATCAGGAACTAGCTGTGGGAGTAGATACGGCTGAGGCGGTGAGGAAGTGGGGGAGAGTTTGTGCGACAATGGTGGGCCATGAGGGCCAAAAACAGCAGGGATCCAGGTGGAAAAAGGGTCCCAGCGTTCTAAAGCACCTCGCTCTGCTAGCTGGTCCATCTTCACCAGTCCTTTTCTGCAATGCGGTCAGACAAACAAAACAAGTCAGCAAGCAGATGTAGATTTGACCAATCAGAGGCCTGCTGTCTGCGGTCACCTACAATTTGGGAGAGGTGCAGCAAAGTTTCGAAGTATAAATCAGCGTCTAGAAGGCAGAACTTTCCTTCAAGGCTGACAATGATTGTTTTCTACTGTCGGCTACTTTAGATCGCCAATTGAATGGAAAATAATAGCAAATATAGGAAATAATATGTTAAGACACCAGAAGAGATTCCTTAAGGCATGGGTGCAATACAGTTTGTCCAACTGGAGTTGCCATATGACGACGTCACAAGAAGGGGTGGGGCCCTGATCAGATCTGGTACCTACAGCTGCTGAGAATGTCCAGCAGGTCCAGTTAGAGATAAGCTCTGAACAGCTGGCTGCTGCACCGCCACATCAGCTCCAGGTAGAAGGAACCAAGGCAGGAAGGGAAAGAGCAGCTGGGAAAGGTTTTGATTTATATGAAATTATTTAAACGACGAAATACAAGGAATGGTTTTCCGGGTGGATCAGCTCCATGTAGCTCATCCCGTTTCTAAATGTCCTTTTTCTAGAGCAGTCGGTTCAGTTTCAATCAGATAAATGTTCATTTTTTGCAGAAAATCATCAGTCAGTTGGTTTGGTTGTTGGAGCCCAGGGCTGAAGGCATAGGCGAATCTACTGGGGTGGCATAGGGTGGCAAATGCCTTGCCACCCTATGCCACCCCAGTTGGCGTTAGGGGTGGCCAGGCTTATAAATTATGGATAATTTGAGAATTATGACTGCTAATTTCCAATGTTGGACTGCAGTGAATGCAGCACGAGATGACGCGAGAGCGACTGAGACTGATATGCGGTCAACTATGACAGAAAAGAGACTATCAGTTTGGTTGAACTCAAATCAAAACGCACAAAGGCATTGGAGCTGAATACATTAGTGAAGCGTTTTGCTGAGCAACATGGAAGTCGCCGCCATTCAGCTCTTATAGTCACATAGCTACATTTTGTTTTGCCACCTGAGAAAATCTGATATTTCCTTTAATAAAACCAAAAGTGTTAAAAGTAAAGTTAAAAATGAGATACTGGTGCAAATCCTGCTTAATATGAAGCAGCGTTGTTGTTTCTTTTTTTGTATATATAGTATGAAACTATCCAGAAATGACCCGTATGAACCTACTCACAAAATGTTTTGTACTTTTTCAGACTGGAGTCAAAATGTATTTTTATGTTGCTTTTTTTTCAGATTTGTGGAGATTTTGATGTAACATACAGTACCTGCCTTTTTGTTGATTTGTTGATACAGCAGCTCTATCTACAGCATATTTACATGCATGAAATGTCCCTTTCATGTTGCCTTACTGCTGTATGTCAGGTTACTGAAGAACAAATGGGGTAAATGTGTGTTCAGAGTAAACATTACATAGATGTCTGGTCCCTTGTTTGGGTGCCTTGACCCATTTATTTCTACTGTGTAGTTATGCTCACTTTAGTACAGCTCAGTCCATAGATCTCTGATGGGTGACTTTTTCTTTCTATAGTTTCTTCTTGTGCAAATGCTGCAAAGCTGCCTCTCTGACAGTCAATCTCATACATCTGCAACTCAGCACCTGTGTATTACCTTAATACCTTTCCTGTCATTAGGCCCCTCTAGAAGTAGTGTAATCATTCTTCTATCTCCTATTAATTGAGATCACATTGTACGATGTATTACCAATATGAACTGTTTCACATTAAACACTTACTGAACATACTATTCTCACCAAACTGTGATAACTGTGATAAAATTTGGTGTAAACAAATTCCATATGTTGCCACCCCTCAAAAATTCCTGCCCCCCTCTCGCCACCCCATAAATATTTTTCTAGATCCGCCCCTGGCTGCAGGCTTCTTCCCACCGCCACTGGTTCCTTCAGTAGTGTTGGATTTACAGATGGCTGCCCCTCCTCTCTCCCTCCTCCTCCTCGTCATTTCTCCCCTCTCCTCCTGAGCTCAACCTTTGCTCTTCAGTCTCGGTTCTGGGTGTGGGTCACCCTCCCAGGCTGACTGGAAGCAGCAGCAGCAGGTTTGATTCCTCCAGAAGCAGATGGTTGGTGTGGGCTGGTTGATATCCAGAGATGGATCCAGAACTGTGGGTCACCCTGAACTCCTATTAGACTGAAGGAAGATGCAGCATCAGCGGCTGCTCTGTCTGCTGCTGTGCGGTCAGATCGGCGCCTCTCAGCTGCTCCGGAACCTAAAGTCCAGCTTGGGCCCTCATTATGAATCCACCACCGCCGACAGGAATGCGCAGGGCAGCCGCTGGCGCACAGTCAGCTGGTGGGACGATGGAAGAACTTTAGCCAAAGTCCAGCTGCCTGGTACCGTAAACCCAGAACCATCCGAACCGCTGGCAGCGAAGCTCCGAAGGTCTGCGCGTAAAAGCTCAGATTTACGCACAGAGGAGAGAAAAGGCGGCGGCTCTGGGGGAGGAGAACAACCCGCGCTGGGAGCTGAACGCGTCGGTGGAACCGATGATCCGGAGAACAGGCCGAACCGGAGGAGACGGAATGAGCCGCTTCTGGACCGACCCAAAGCTCTGCCTGTGTCCATGGCGCAGGAACAGGACGCACTGTCCCCCTTGGTGTCCAACAGCAGCTATGAGGAGGAGGACACCACCCCGCTGGGCCCGGTCACCCCGCGGACCAGACCCAAACACATGAGGAACCCCTTCTACCCGCTCAGTGCGGCGTCCTGCGGGGCTTATGCGGTGCTGATGGCGGCCGTCGTCATCTTCAGCGCGGGGATCCTGGCCAACATGGCGCTGATGTGCATAGTGTGCCATAACTACTACATGAGGAGCATCTCCAACTCCCTGCTGGCCAACCTCGCGCTCTGGGACTTCATCATAGTCTTCCTCTGTCTGCCGCTCGTGGTTTTTCACGCGCTCACCAGGAACTGGCTGCTGGGAGAGTTCTCCTGCAGGATCGTCCCCTATCTGGAGGTGAGAGATGATCATCAAGGGCCAGGGGGAACGCAGAGGTTCCAGATATTTGGGGTCAGATGGGCACAAGATCAGGAGCGGGGATGAAAACTTTCCAGATCAAATCACATTCAACTGATTTGCTGTCTGTGTCCATCATTTTAGTCCAGATTTACTCCCAAATTTCCTCCACCTGTAGCAGCAGCTCTGCTGCAGCAGACTGACAGACTGAGGCAGTCAGTCATGTGCTGACAGACTACCTTTAGCTGGGTCTGCCTAGATTATTATCTCTGTTTGTTTTTCTGGTTTATTCCAGTTCTTCCTGGTATCACTTTTAAAAGTGAACCATCAAACTCTTTCCACGCCGGTCTTCCTGATCCACCTGCCTGTGAAAGAAGGTCATGGATCTGATGGCTTGATGATGGTCTGTATTTTAGAAACACAGTAATACTGTAGATCTATGAGGTCAGAGAAGAGTGGAAACGATGTGATTAGTGTCGCTTCCCACTGTGAAAAAACCCTCCAGAATGTGTCACAATCTGTTCTTCCGTCTGACTGGGGAGTGAGATTAGGGAGTCCCCTCTCAGACTGGGATTAGATGGTGACCTCCTTTTGACCACGGGACTGTCTGTATCACTGGGGCCAATGAGGAGCTCTACTCAGTCTGCTTCAGTCTCAAAATAAATGTGCTGCACTGTTTGGGAAGGCAGTCTTCCAGCAGGACAGGTGAGGTGTTGCTTTAGGATGTTCTGCTTTAGAACAAACCTCTGCCACAACTTCTGACCTCCTATTGGTCCAGAAAAGGTCACATGACCTGCTAACACCTGGAGGCCAAATGAACCAGAAGTTTGGGTTATGGGCGATCACTCAGATGGATAGAAGGTTTGGAGGTTTGCTGTTAGATTCAAGTTCAGTTTAAAATCCAGTCATATTATTCCACTGGTTCTACTGGTTCCATCTGGGATCATCCAGAATTCCCATCATCTTTATTCCACCTGTTCTGTTATCCAGAAAGTCATCCAATGGATCAAGGAGGCCCCTGGATCAGGGCCCTTAGTGTAAATTAACAGAGGTCCCTGGTTAGATCAGGGCTCCTAGTGTTAACTTACAGAGGCCCCTGGTTAGATCAGGCCCTTAGTTGTAAATTAGGTCCCTGGTCATGTGTCGACAGGTCAAATGACCCTGCAAGCGACCTGAGACATGAGACCTGGGTCGCACTAATGACATCATCAGTGCTAACTCTGCGTGAGTCCTGGTGGTCTTCAGGTGAATCCTTAGTTCTGCCGGAAGCACTGTCTGCCATGTTGCTCATATGCTATGATGGTGAGCCTGAGATGATATGTTTACATGCAGGAACATGGAAACCTGCATGGCTGGAGAAAAACGCCAAGGCTGGTGTGGGACATCAGTCCATAGTTTACCTGAAATTAGACCTTTGGTTAGAACCTGGTCCATAGTTCACCTGAAATGAGATCGTTTGTAAGAACCTGGTCCAGAGTTCACCTGAAATGAGACCTTTGGTAAGAACCTGGTCCAGAGTTCACCTGAAATGAGACCTTTGGTTAGAACCTGGTCCAGAGTTCACCTGAAATGAGACCTTTGGTTAGAACCTGGTCCAGAGTTCACCTGAAATGAGACCTTTGGTGAGAACCTGGTCCAGAGTTCACCTGAAATGAGACCTTTGGTGAGAACCTGGTCCAGAGTTCACCTGAAATGAGACCTTTGGTGAGAACCTGGTCCAGAGTTCACCTGAAATGAGACCTTTGGTGAGAACCTGGTCCAGAGTTCACCTGAAATGAGACCTTTGGTAAGAACCTGGTACAGAGATCCTCTGAAAGGAGATCTTTGGTTAGAACCTGGTCCAGAGTTCACCTGAAAGGAGACCTTTGGTTAGAACCTGGTCCATAGTTCACCTGAAAGGAGACCTTTGGTTAGTTCCCTTCAAAGGAGACCTTTGGTTAGAACCTGGTCCAGAGTTCACCTGAAAGGAGACCTTTGGTTAGAACCTGGTCCATAGTTCACCTAAAAAGAAGACCTTTGGTTAGAACCTGGTACATAGTTCCTCTGAAAGGAGACCTTTGGTTAGAACCTGGTCCATAGGGAACCTGAAAGGAGACCTTTGGTTAGAACCTGTTCCATAGTTCCCTTCAAAGGAGACCTTTGGTTAGAGCCTGGTCCATAGTTCCTCTGAAAGGAGACCTTTGGTTAGAACTTGGTCCATAGTTCCTCTGAAAGGAGGCCTTTGGTTCTTTATATCCATCCCAGACATGGGCAATGTGGAGTCAACAAGTCATCTCCATGTCATGTATTTGTTCTACCCAGCCAATTAACCAGGTGAGTCCAATCTGCACAGGTTAATTCACGGTGAAGATTGGACTCACCTGCTTCAGTGGCTGGGTAGAACAAATACATGACATGGAGATGACTTGTTGACTCTACATTGCCCATGTCTGATCCATCCATCCATTTTCTAGCACGCTTATCCCGAGTGGGGTGTTCTTTAAATCCAACATAGAAAATTTAATTTATTGATGCTGTAAGTTGGTCTCCATCATGATGGTTACTAGACCTGAATGTGAAGACATGCTGAAAATAAAAACATTCATATATTACAGGTTAACTGCCTCTACAATGAAGATAATCTGAAAAATAAATCTTTCCTAAAATGTTATCTATGATCGGAGTTGAATGGGTTGGACCTTTGCACTGAGAACATTTTTCTGCTCTGGTGTTAATAAAAAAAAAACATCCCCTCCTTTCCTTTGACCCAGACTAAGAGATTCCGTTCTCCTCCTGGACAGTCAGGGTAAATTTAAGGAATGCTGCTTTCTTCTTTGGGTAAACATGGGGAATGTGTCTTGGCCAGAACCTGTCAACTGTCAGCGCTAGCTGCTCTTTGCTAGCTGGTCTTTGGTAGATCAGAATGTTCCAAGTCTGCTCTGGTCTTTGGTAGATCCGGATGTTCCAGGTCTGCTCTAGTCTTTGGTAGATCCAGATGTTCCAGGTCTGCTCTAGTCTTTGGTAGATCAGGATGCTCCAGGTCTGCTCTGGTCTTTGGTAGATCAGAATGTTCCAGGTCTGCTCTGGTATTTGGTAGATCAGAATGTTCCAGGTCTGCTTGGGTATTTGGTAGATCAGACTGTTCCAGGTCTGCTCTAGTCTTTGGTAGATCAGACTGTTCCAGGTCTGCTCTAGTCTTTGGTAGATCAGAATGTTCCAGGTCTGCTTGGGTATTTGGTAGATCAGACTGTTCCAGGTCTGCTCTAGTCTTTGGTAGATCAGAATGTTTCAGGTCTGCTCTGGTCTTTGGTAGATCAGAATGTTCCAGGTCTGCTCTGGTCTTTGGTAGATCAGAATGTTCCAGGTCTGCTCTAGTCTTTGGTAGATCAGGATGCTCCAGGTCTGCTCTGGTCTTTGGTAGATCAGAATGTTCCAGGTCTGCTCTGGTCTTTGGTAGATCAGAATGTTCCAGGTCTGCTCTAGTCTTTGGTAGATCCAGATGTTCCAGGTCTGCTCTAGTCTTTGGTAGATCAGGATGCTCCAGGTCTGCTCTGGTCTTTGGTAGATCAGAATGTTCCAGGTCTGCTCTAGTCTTTGGTAGATCAGAATGTTCCAGGTCTGCTCTGGTCTTTGGTAGATCAGAATGTTTCAGGTCTGCTCTGGTCTTTGGTAGATCAGAATGTTTCAGGTCTGCTCTGTTCTTTGGTAGATCAGAATGTTCCAGGTCCATTCTAGCCTTTGGTAGATCAGAATGTTTCAGGTCTGCTCTGTTCTTTGGTAGATCAGAATGTTCCAGGTCCATTCTAGTCTTTGGTAGACCAAGATGTTCCAGGTCTATTCTAGTCTTTGGTAGACTAAGATGTTCCAGGTCTGTTCTGGCCTTTGGTAGATGAATAATTTTTCAGGACTTTAGATCTCGTTTTGTTTGTCCTCCTTCCAGGTGGCGTCTCTTGGGGTCACCACCTTCACGCTGTGCGCTCTGTGCATCGATCGTTTCCGTGCAGCCACCAATGTGAAGATGTACTATGAGATGATTGAGAACTGGGCATCCACTACAGCCAAGCTGGCCGTCATCTGGGTGGGTGCCCTGCTGCTGGCTCTACCGGAGCTGCTGCTTCGGCAGCTGGTGACGGAGGACGGCGACCCACCGGACGTGGCACCTTGTGAGCGCTGCGTGGTCCGGATCTCCACTGAGCTACCAGACACGCTGTACGTCCTGGGCCTCACCTACGATGGTGCACGCCTCTGGTGGTACTTCGGCTGCTACTTCTGTCTGCCGACGCTGTTCACCATCTGCAGCTCTCTGGTCACGGCCAAGAAGATCCGAGGCGCTGAGCGAGCATGCGTAAGGGGCAGCAAGAAGCAAATCCAGCTGGAGAGCCAGATGAATTGTGCTGTGGTGGCGCTGGCCATCCTCTATGGCTTCTGCATCATCCCCGAGAACATCTGCAACATCGTCACTGTTTACATGGGGGCTGCCGTGCCTAGGAGGACCCTGGACATCCTGCATCTGGTCAGCCAGCTGCTGCTGTTCTGTAAGTCTGCACTGACGCCCATCCTGCTGTTCTGCCTGTGCCAGCCATTCACCAGGGCCTTCCTGGATTGCTGCTGCTGCTGCTGGGAGGGGTGCGGCCCCCCTCGTAACGGCGACGTAGAAAACGAAGGAACCCCCACTGAGCTGGAGCTCTCCCCGTTCAGCACCGTCCACGGGGAGCCCTCCACCTCAGCGGCGTACACGGTGTTGGGGACCCACTGCTGACCGACTGGTTGGATTCTGAGATGTGGAGCTTCTTCATGACAGCAGATGGACTTGTGAAGTCTGTCATGTCACACTGGAAAAAAAATGAAATCTAGATTAATAAGTAGTCATTTTTTCTTAAAGAAAGTGATTTTGTTCTTGAATTGAGGAGATAAAAATTATATTTTGAAAATAAAATAAGACAATTTACATTTGAAATAAGAAAACACAATTGTAGCCTCTTATTTCTAGTTTATATTATCTAATTATCTTATTTTAAGAGTAAAAATACTCATTCCATTGGCAAACTATCTCATTTTCCTACTCAAATTATGGATAAATACACTTAATTTAAGGAATTGTTACTTATTTCTAGATGTTTTGTCCAGTGCAATGACTGGGGCTGAAATCAGGGGGACTGGTTCTCTTCTGAAAAGGAAGAAGCTTTTTAGGATTTTCCTCCAGGTTTCAGCCTCTTATGTGACGTTGATTCTACTGAAGGAAATAAATGGCAACCGCGCCACTAAACTACCTTATTCAGGTTGCTGAATAAATAAGGCCATTGTTGGATTAAAGATGTTTGGTAGTCTGAGCAGTGACTTTAAATGGACGACCTTCAGCATGAATCTGCATCAATAATGCTGATATTTCACAGATAATTTTACCAGAGATTAAGTCTGAAGAGGGAACATACTCAACCTGACATGGAGCCTGCCATGGGAGCGGCCATTTTGGATCACCGCTGCTGCTCTGCAAGGCAAGAATATCTCCAACCGTACCCTAATCCCAGCCTATTTTAATCTGACTGGATTAAATCCATGAGGAATAAATGATTTTATGTTGCCTTGAACCTCCTTTCATCCTGAAACCAGGAAAACCTCAGTTTTGATCAAGGAAAGCAGTTTGGTCCAGATTTAGTCTAGATGCCAGTTTTAGTTAGTTCTGGATTTTTAGAGCTTAGTCTTTTATTTTTATCACTCTTTATCTGCCATCATTTCTGCATCTGGGCACTAAATGTAAAGACTGTTTTATAAAAGCATCTGTTAATGTTTATAAACCTGCTGCTGATGTGTTTTAGATCTCAAATGGTTCCTTTTTCTTTGACAGTGAAGAATTAAAAGGTTTGTTTTCAGAAGATCTTCTGTCTTTTCAAACATTTTCTCCTTTTTTACCAGCTTAACTGAGAAAAACAGGAGCTCTTTCAAAAGAGACTGATCTCAGATTCTTTGGGTTTTGAAACTTTTTAGATCATCAGAAAAAAATGATTTTAGTAGATATTAATAGTCGTTTCAAAATATTGAGTTTAGATAATACTGTAAACTGAAAAGCTAAATTAATGTTCATGTTTAACAGCATCAATATCTGATGACTAAATCTAGAATGAAGAAATCACTTTAACTGAACCCGTCTCACAACATGAAGTAGGCCAAAGAACCTCCCCAGGAGAAGCCTGCTAATCTGTTCCAGCAGGTCCAGCAGCCTCAGGTGGAGTCATGCAGAGATTAAAAAAGGTTCAAAGCAGAAATGGCCTCTGTGACATTTCCAAGGTCAAACCGTCTCTTCTCTGATGAAATGATCTTCCAGACTTTGGGAAAATATTCTGTGAGCTAATGGCTTCTAACACTGGAAGGCATTGGTCTGATGCCATCAGGCGGCAGCATTTCAGGCACGGTGGTGGCGGTGTGATGGTCTGGGACTGTTCTTCTGTTCCAGGACACAGAAGAGTTTTCATGGGAAATGGAACCGATTCCTTCTGTCGCCTCAAACATGCTGAAGGAAAAACATCTGGTCTTCGATTTGACTTTAAGAACAAGATGGGGAGACTCCTGATTGGCCGGTTAAAGTCCTGGTCTGAGTGCGCAGAAGATGGTGTGACTTTAAACAGCAAGTTCATACTGGAAACCCTCCCATGAATGAATGAATGAATGAGTTAAAAGCTATTAGTCCTCCAGAATGAATGAAAAGATGAGTTATTATTAGATGAAACCAAGGATCAAAAATGGATTTTTATATTTCCTGAGGTTTTCTTTTAGTCATGTTAATGTTCATCTGCAGCTTTTGCTTCAAACAGGGACACTAGAACTGCTGGTTCTTAAGCTGCTTTTGGTCAAACTCAGAGCTTAATGTTTAGGTTATATTATAAAAACAGCCAAGAAGACAATCAGCCAGAGACAATTTCCAAGAATTTCTTCCAGGAACTTTCAAATATTGCAGCTTCTCCAGGCCTTCCTGTTAGCCGCCATATTTAAGCATTTCTCTTATTATTGCTACTTTTCTGAAGCAAAACCTGAAGTCCAGTTTATGTTGTAGTAATCTAATTTAATCTGACCAACAGACCTGCCCATGTCATCATATTATATTCATAACTTTACGCTAACTGAACAAGCTAGCATGAAGATAAGCTGGAAGCTATTCAAATGTATTGAGCCATTCTATAGATTTCCCGTACAAACTCATTTTAATAGCATCACCACTGGTATGAAGATAAATCACAAACTGTTTTTAAGTCAAGCATGAAACAATTATTTCTCATTTTTTTGAGTTTTATATCATGTTTGTGCAGAAATGAAAAGCCGGAATTCACTGCGTCTGCATCTGTAACCAGGTGCAGCTTTCCTGTGGTTTATTCCGGCATTAAGGAGGAGTTATAAAAACCAGGCTCCCAGTGATAAGCAGGCTAATTGGTATAATTCTACTTTATTTGTTTGGTAGCGTTTTATTTGGGACAACAATCAAAAAGAATAAAGAAATAAAAGGAAAAGAGACGAACGGGAAGAAGACGATGCTTATTTAATCTCTTCTTTTTACTGCAAAAAAATGATTGCATACACAATTAGCTGAAACTTTCCCTTTATTGTTTTAAGAAATTTAAAGATTTCTGCTCACAGCAGTTTGTTGTGTTTGATGAAAGAATAGCACGCATTCAGATGAAGAAAAGAGGTCAAAGCTCATCTCTGTCCATCCAGGGGACACAGCTGCTATTGTTCAGACTCCTCACTCTGTCCTCTGATTCGCTGTCAGTCCCAGAAACGTGGATCTGTGGCGCAGCATGAGTCGGCAGCAGGAAGCTGTTTGGAGGAGAAGGTTTGAACCGACTGAGTTTTTATTGCTGCTGAAAACACTTGTTCTCTCTCATAATAAAGCATCAGACTAATGGCAGCGCTCAGCTGGCTGCTCTGGTTTGGTGGTCACTGTCGCCGCCCAGCCAGGGAGGATATACTGCAGCATTGTCTTAGCCTGCTGCTGTCATAGCGACCCTGTGAGCCGGTCCTTGGAGTGAACACTGAGTAACACTGAGACAGACAGAGCTCTGAGCCTCATTAGTGTGAGGAAAGCTGTCACTGATTGTTTCTGCTCTGAACCAGTGTTGCCTGGTTCCTGCAGAACAAACATGCTACTGCTGCAACTCCTCCACCTGATTGGTAATGCTTCTGCCTCCACCTGCTGACTGATGAGAGGGGTCCTCATCTCCAGAAACTGGACCTGAGAACCACTCCACTCACCTGCCAGCCTGGGACGCCTCAGATGGTGGTTAGATGGTGTTACGCAACGCCAAAAAAATCTCTTTCTATTAATGGTTAAGCGTCAAACGCTCTCCAAAGGGGAGGGGTTAAATGCAGAGGTGAATTTTCTAATTTTCCAATAAGGTTCAATAAATTATTATGAATTTAGTTTTTTCAACCAAAATCACAGAATATTATAATAGTGTGCCAGCATGGGGTCTTGTCACTAAAGTCCCATTTCCACTACCAACTCTCTAGCATTAAGCTATGTAGCCTGTTAGCACTGAAAGAGCTAACAACAAACACATGATAATACAATGCTTATTCATTATTTGATAATAATATTTAACTAGTTTTATCTTGCATTATTATTTAGCATAAATAATAATAAATTATCATTATTATCATTAAACATCATTAAAAGTATCATTAAACATAGAGCCAGTGATTTCAGATTGGCCCTCCAGAAGGCCCCCAGGCAGGATGTGACCTGGGTTAAGGAATGTAGCACTTCTTCTTTGGTCTCCAATAAATCAGGTAAATATTACTAAACAGTGCTTTATGTGTTACTTCCATGCAGTAACCAAGAGTTAACATCTGATAACAGTGGAGCTACTTTTAATTTATTGGCGTTATTTTCAGGAGGGGTTTGTTTTCCTAACATCTCAAAGCTTTGGCTGAGCGGGAAAATGATCAGCATCTTCATTCATTTCCATTTTAGATCAGAATCAGAAATCCTTTAATAATCCCAGAGGGAAATTACTTTTGTTACATGCTCCAGATACAGTTTTATGTATATACATACACAACAAGCCACACAAGATAATAAAGATATAAATATATAGACATACTGTATAACTGTTCTGTATATATATATATAGCATGGCATAGACAATTCACGTTTGCAGTTTGAAGAACACCTGCTTGCTTCTGATGACTTCCTTTAGCTAACCAATGAGTGTTTGCGTTCTATGACTCATCCAATTACACTAGTTTACACTAGATGTGGATGGAGCCAATGATCTGCATTGGATGGAGCACATGACCTGAAAGAAATATTCATAAACATAAAACCGAAGCCAAGAGTAACGAGTAACATTTCTTTTAAAAATGTAAGGAATAGAAAGTACAGATACTTGCGTGAGAATTTACTGAGTAGAAGTCAGAAGTAGGAAGAAAAATAAGTAATGGAGACCTAAAAAGTGTACTTAATTACAATAATAAAGTATTTGTACTTGGTTACTTGACACCTCTGTTAAACGTCAACTCAGTGGCAGGGATGGGAGGTCATGGGGAGTCACACCTGTTCACATCATTGACAGTTGATCCTCTGTAGTTGTTGGAATCATAGTTAAACTAACTATAAACTCCAGTTACAGTTTATATAAACTCATAAATCATCACCTCTGAGCCACTGGAAACCATTCACTGGGTTCCAAACCGCCACAGCAAAACCATGGGAACCAAGAAGCATGGCGGTACTGGGATGGCAGCACTCTTCATCTCTTATTATAACATTTTCCCTCCAGCCTCGTCATTCATTTCAATAATATTTCATTTTTCATCTTTTCATGCATGTCTTCAGGAACAGCATTCCTGCTTAATGACTACATAATAAGGTGAAGAGCTCCCTTTGTCTGTGAACTAAATTCCTGCCTAATCAGCCGCTTGGCTTTGCTTTGCTCTCTGGCTCTGGATGTTTGTGTCTTTTGTA